GGCCTGTGGCATCCTTCAGCTTTAGCTGGAAATCTCTTGAGCAGCAGAAGGAAAGAGTGGCCACCACACAGAATGATATGCCCTAGGGAATACAGTCTACACCTGGGGTTCTATTTTTTTTTTTTTTTTCTGGTACACAGGCCTCTCACTGCTGTGGTCTCTCCCGTTGCGGAGCACAGGCTCCGGACGCGCAGGCTCAGCGGCCATGGCTCACGGGCCCAGCCGCTCCGCGGCATGTGGGATCTTCCCGGACCGGAGCACGAACCCGTGTCCCCTGCATCGGCAGGCGGACTCTCAACCACTGCGCCACCAGGGAAGCCCAACACCTGGGGTTCTAAAATGACTAGTTTTCTGGTGACTTTCTCCTGTCCTTGGTCATTTTGATGTGTATTTGGAGAGAAACAAACTTGTCACATCTCTGGTAGGATACAGTTATATAATCTGAAGCCATGCAGCAAAATTTTCCTTCTTCATTTCTACTTTGTGTTCCATTTATGCCTTTATTTCAGCTAATCCAAAAATGTAGGGACCCTATTAAGCTCCGTTTAAACAGGCAAAATCAGACTTTTATTTCAAATACAGTATTTATCTCCCGTATTCAAGAGCAAGGCTTTGCTCATTTATTCTTCACAATACCTGATGCAAATTCCACTGGCACATAAGGATGTGAAGTCTATTGGTGTTTGCCCCATTAATAACTTTCCAAGTGTTATGACTACTTAAAACTTTAAGGCTTTCTGTTACTGCAAGTTCTGCTTCTTGCCTAGGGTATCTAAAAATGGTAAATCCGGAAGATTATTTTTGGGACAAACTTAAAATAAACATAAGCACTGATAATACAATTTGGATGAATGGGGGCAATCATCCCAGGACTCACATTCATTCAGATGCCTTTTTCATGCTGATGTTTTTCATCTGTGGGTCATTGCTCACTAATTGATAAATGAGGGGCTAGACCACATTTCTCTGCAATCTGAGACTTGGGTTGACAATTATCAAGCAAAGTAATCTCTGACTTCAACTTCAGAAACCTACAGCTGGAAAGGTGCTCCTGACTATGGGTAATGCTGGTCATCTTGGTTAGTCAACACAGCAAAAAGGGGAATCCTAGTATTTAAAAACTGAGGTAGGGCTTCCCTGGTGGCGCAGTGGTTGAGAGTCAGCCTGCCGATGCAGGGGACACGGGAAGATCCCACATGCCGCGGAGTGGCTAGGCCCGTGAGCCATGGCCGCTGAGCCTGCGCGTTCGGAGCCTGTGCTCTGCAATGGGAGAGGCCACAACAGTGAGAGGCCCGCATAAGGCAAAAAAAAAAAAAAAAAACTGAGGTAACTGAATCTAACGCTACTTAGATAGCATCAATCTATTTATGTCTGCAGTGTTGAGTCATTTGTGATTCAGAAATAATATTTGATAATATTTCTAAAGCAATGAAATTAGGTAGGGAAAGTGACTTGTGACTCATTCTAAACTATGACAGATGAGAAACAGAAAATCCAATATGTCAATAAGGAAAAAAACAAAATTTGACCATTTCTTTCTGGTAGTATAGTCCACAGAACAGAGGTGGGGAGAAAAGATAAAAATAAGAATTTAATTGCAATTGTCTCCTAGTCTATCCAAATCCATTTGCATTGGGAGAGATACAGTCTCCTAGTCTATCCAAACCCATTTGCATTGGGAGAGATACAGTCTGACTTTTCCTGCCTCACATAATCTCATCGACAAAAGTTAATCAGTATTTCCAATGATAATTTGCTTCCAGAGCGATTCCCTTTCAAATTCATATTCTTGGAAGATAGTTAATAACAGGGAATTTAAAGTCAAAATATCAAGTTCACAAAAGTTAAACTACAGGGCTTCCCTGGTGGCGCAGTGGTTGGGAGTCCGCCTGCTGATGCAGGGGACGCAGGTTAGTGCCCCAGTCCGGGAGGATCCTGCATGCCGCGGAGCGGCTGGGCCCATGGGCCATGGCTGCTGGGCCTGCGCCTCCGGAGCCTGTGCTCTGGGACGGGAAAAAAAAGTTAAACTACAAAGTGTGTAAATTCTATTCACTCCTCTAGGATTATAAAATTGAAAAGCTTTACAGCTGAATATAAAAATTTATAGTGCTTGGGCCTATACTATTTAACAACTTATAAATGAACTTAAAATTTAAAAAATCATATTTAAATTACCAAAATAACTGAAGAATAAGTCAAATCCTGATTCATGTTTAATAAACAGGGTATGTATATTTCCTATGTTCAACAGTATATGTACAATCACACACATTTATTTATATAGATTTGTTTATATGAACATATAGTTATGCGTTTATATTTATTTGCAGTGAAACATGTCTCAACTCTGTTGGACTTTGTTGAAAATCAAAGAAGAAATCCTTATTGATGAATGAAGTCCAGGTGGGCCATTTTTTTCGGGAGCATATAATAAAGCACACTAATGATTTTTAAAATTGGCTGCACATGTGTGGCTGGACAATTTCTTACCAAGGTAAATAAACATGATTAATTCTGGCAGTTATTCAGACGGCACACAGAAACATTCTGAATGCATTTTATCATGTTAAACTTATAACTGCTTTCCTGAAGCAGAGCGTATTTTAATCATAACTTTAAAATATATACATATATATTTAGACTGGCAAATATAATGCTCTTTTTAGTCTTCTATATTCTTAATAACCATTTCTAAATGTTTCTGAAAATTACTAAAGTTTTAATTTTAGTAATTCCAAAGATATAAAATTATGTCTTAACTCTTTATCTTCACACTAGTTACACGCATGAAAGGGCATGGTATTTCTGACTCTTAATTTTGGAGTTGAAGTATGATGGTCTGGGTGTAAGAAAGAAAAGAATCTACATGATGTAGAGTTCATCAGCTTGGATGTTGGTTTACAACCAGCAATGCATTGCTTTTACCTTTTTTTGAATATACAGAATAATAAAAAAATTAAATTATAACAGAAAGAGGAAACTGAAGGCAGCTTAAGTATACCTATATATTTAAAAGATAGTATCACTGAAGTACTATATGAGAAACACTAGGGCACATACCACAAAACACATTTCAGTGAATTTTTATAATACACCAGAAATGGCCTGGGATCATGGGCTGTGTGGACTTGGGAAAGCACTTAATTTCTCTGTGTATCTCTCCCCTAGGTTAAATAATATATAGAGTCTTACCCAGCTCTAAAATGTATAACATTTCTCCTATATTAAAACAGAATCAGGAAAAGCAACTTATCAGAGATTTTAATATTTTTCAAGGTACCCAACCCTAGAGAATGACAAAAAACAAGCACTAGGTCCAGACTTTCATTGTATATAGACCTGGAAACCTGAAATGCTGAGGTTTCTGAAAACGAAATGTGCATTCTGAGTGCAAACTTGTATCTACTTTTTAGGGATACAGCAAAATAATTGCAAGCACTAAAAAGAAAAGCAGCAGCAAAGCTAAAAACAGTGTACATTCTCTAACCTATTTCTGAATAAAGAACCAATTGCTATATTTAAATCAATGAGAACTATGGCTAAAAGCAAAGCATAGTTGAGGATCTCGAACTCTTTTTGGTAACAGACATGCGGACACATAGGCAAATGTGATTGATATTCACTATTAAAGAAGAAGATAACAGTAACTTCATTGAATTTGCCAGTAAGCAAACTCCAACTTGGTGCGTACAAAAATTAGCTTTTTTTCTTTTAGTATCAAAAGCTTTAACAGGGCCTAAAGTCACGGTCAATGTTTGCAATGTTAAGCTGAGAGTCTTATGTCTCCAACTGTCTTCCTTTCGCATGTCTAAGTTCATGTACTAACCAGGGAAGTGTGCTGTTTTAATGGCTCACCCAGAGTGCTGGGCTGCTGGCAAAGACAAGAGGAGGACTGGGGACAGAGAGGGTATTAAGCTGCCATGCCGAGTCTATTTTAAGTCAGGCTGGGTGAGAGAGAGGTGGAGGAGGGAGTGGCCTGAGTAGGCAAGCTCACCTGTTATTACTATTATTATAATGATATGCTTGTCTACTTACAAGACTTGCTATGAACTCTTTGGGGTAGGAATAGCTTGTTATTCTTTTTCATATCTTAGTGCTTGGCACCCAGTAGACACTTACTGTATATTTATGAAAGGAATGAATAAAAGACCCCCAACTCCTTCGGGGTTTCTTTCTCCCACTACTTTCGTGTGTTAGGAGAACTGGTTAGGTTACGAAGTTCCTTATTTAAAACTTCAATTGCTCCCTTGAGTTTTCTTCCTTAAAGTCATTCACACCTTCAGATGAATTACTTTGATCTAATCATCTGCAGGAGTGCCTGCACTTCAGGATTCACTGAGGCGGATCTCAGACTTGGGGGGGAGGGCCATGAAAGGAAGTCCTCCATGGGGTTGGGTACTTTGTACTGTTGAGAGCAGCATCAGGGGGTTGCTAGACCAAGGACAGTGCGTGAGGGGCTCAAGAGCAGGTTACACAGGACAGAGTGGTTACCATTACAGAGAATCTACTTTCCAAGCCAGTCGAGAGGGATCTGATGGGACAGGCCACCAAATGCTTTTGTAAACATTTAGCATTTGTACACACATGGCAGCTTGGGGAAGGTGGTATTTGGAGGTCAAGCCTGGAAGCTGCACATCCTATAGCTTCTCTAGAGTTACTAACCTGTACTGTATGGTCCAGGTTAGCTGTGCTTCATGTGTTAAAACCCAATTCCTGTTTCTCCTCAGTGGGAGGAGGACAAGAGAGAAGGAAAATGAAGAGAATAGAAAGGAGACCACATCCTATGACCCCTCCATTCCCCTAGTTCTCTGTATCATCAGTGTGGACTAGTAGAGCTGTCATGGAATTGCCCACTTCACAGGACATGTAGAATATGTTTCCCTGCTCTTCCCCACCTCCCTCCCATGCCAAATGATCAATCAACTCACACCCTCTCTTCCACGCTTGGAACACAAGCTTAACACTCACAGGTCAACTCTGGGGCCTGGAAAATTACCTACCCGCCTTCTTCTGAATATTTATGCCCAAATGCCAGGATGTCAGATGCCCGTCCACTCCCATCACAGACAACAACTGGCACGGGAGGGGTATCTCGAAGGTATTCCAAGACAATTGAGATCACATTGGGTCCTCCTTCCACAATGAGTGCCACCACTGGAACGCCTTGACCGATTCCTGCATTAAAAAAGGAAAAGAAAAGGAAAAAAAGAGAAAAGAACACAAAGCCAGCAAACCAAAGAAACAAAAAGAGAAACAAAAAGCACAAACTAAAATTACTGAGCATGGGGGAGGGTAACAACATATGAAGGGCTAACATACGGAGCGAAAATGTACAGAAAACCCTTTAGCAGAATTTTCCCACTAGAGAGTCCATTCGACTCTGCCCTCTCCCCGCAACTCCCAGGGTGCCGGGGTTTTAAAGAGCTGATGACTATACCTCACAGGGGAGGCGTAGAGTGAGGAGGGTGGGAAAGGAATTGGTTAGTAGAAGAAGTGCTGGGCCAGCAGCCAAAAGACTGGAAGCTAAATGTGATCTTAAGCAAGTCTCATATGGATCCAAGGGTCAGTTTCCTATATGAAAAATGGGAAGTTAAAAAAATGCCACCTCCCTGAAGTCATCACAGTGCTAAGAAAATGCCTAAATGGTTCTTTTTATTAAAGACTACCAAAATCAGCTGGGGGCATATTTTAACTTGTTGAATCAACCAGTGGCAAAATTAGGGGTCTATCTATTTCTGACCATAGGTGATAAGCTTGATTATGGATTCTTAACACTAGAATAGTTATAATAAATTACTCAGGAGATATGGCAACTGCCCTCTGCCATTATTGTGTCCTTCACTACTGAGGAAGGTGCCAGGCACACGATGGGCAAACATTTTCTGAATTCAGTTGAATTAAGGGATTTCAGCTACTTATGCTGAGCCATAGACATTGCTGTTTTCAAGTAAAAACTGCCCTAACATCAACACTTACGTATGTTCAACCTAACAAAGAGAAGTATTAAAAACAAATGTCCATGAGAGACATGATGAGAAAGAAATTAAATTAGTTTTCAAGTGACATCTCAAGTATCATCGTTCATTGAATACGTTTTTTTGCTCAGTTTGGTACCACATTGTATTTTCTCACTCTATCTTCTCAGAATAGTTAGGAAATTGGGCAGTGCCATAAAAATGAAAGGGTTTTATAAGGTACACAAAGCAGTTATCTTAAAAAATAGAGTCAAGATTCTGTACCACTTCTGTAAATATGAACTGAAAAAAGCCCTTAATCACCTCAGTTCTTCCTTCCTCTTCCCCCTTCTGTTATGGTTTTATCTTTTATCTAGAAACTGCTTCCCTATGAGAAATAACAGTTTGGTGTTTGATTTCTTGCTCCATTAGTAAGAGATTTTATTAGACTTGTGTGACCTGTTTTACTTCTAAAGTATAAGTACATCAGTCTCCTAGGGCCTTATCTCTTATAAGTCAGTGTTTTTCATGGTTTGATTTTCATCTGTAAAGAATGGTCCAAAATGCCAGTTACACAAAAAAAGAGTGCTGTTTTAAATCTACATTTAAAAAATGTAAGAAAATAACAATTGTTGATTAAGGCAAGAAGCCAAATTTTTTTTTTTCCCCAGAAGGAACTGGGAGAGAGGGATGACCTGTAGCCCCATCAGAGTTTTCTGTGAATGGGGAGTTTTTGAGAATTACTCCTTCAAATCCAAGGAGAGGGAAGTAAAAGGTCATGCTGTTCTCCTTTGACCCAGAAGCTCTAATGACTCAGACAAAAGGCCACTTTAAAGCTCTGTTGGGGTGTCTATGAAAGAGACACTTTCCCACTGCTATTGTTTATGAGGATTAAGTAAGTTCCTGTTGAAAGGCACGTTAAAGATTAAGGGCTAACTTGAAATGTTAATACAGCACACTTCTTCTGGAGGAGAATTTCTGACATAAAAAATACCCACCCCTATATGGATTTATGTTCTAATGTGCCTTGGAAAAGAGACTCTTTTCCAAGGCACACTGAAAGTTATTTTATAAAGTATTTTATGTTTAAAGTTTAAACTTAAATGTTTAAAGTGATTTTATAAGGTATTTCCAAAATACTATGCTATTTAGTTTTTCCCTTTGCTTTTCTTTAGCACATGCTCTCATATTGTTTCATGTCAAGGAACAATATGCTATACCTACTGTTTTATACCAAAGGATATCATTTAGACTATTTCTAGGATCTTCTAAGAGAGGCCTTGGCCAATTTCTGATTCTTGAGCACTGATTCTATCAGTGGATCTTTACTCCTACTCACAGACCAACTGTGACCCACTCATGAAGGAAGAAGTCATAGAATGGATCTTCTAGAATGTTCCAGTGATCCAGAGTCCGCCAGACAATAGGCAAGATGGCTGGAAAACTCTCCTCTCTTTGAGAGGAAACACAGGTGCAAAGGATCAATTTTCATAGGAAGATTTGAGAGCAATAAGCTGTCAGTTATATTTATCAATAAATCAAATTGTTATAACCTCTAGAAATACAGAAACATTTAGATGGTCAGATTTCCTATATTTGGAATGAAGCTGTAATTAACTGAAATGATGAAAAGAACTACATTAATTCAGATATATATTCCAGAGCTAAAACTGGTTGGAGTAAAGTATCAAAATATCATCTATTTTTTCATAAACTGAATATATCCAATATATCTATGCCTCCAAATTCTCTCCCATTTCCTTTAGTGATAATATATGGAAATTTGTTCCATAGACAATGAAAAACCCTTATAGCCTAAAACAAAAGCATTTTTTACTTTCTTAGTTATAGGTGGTAGAGAATCAGGCCGTGCCTAAAAATATGCTTTGTGTAAATTAAACATGCCAATATATGGATATATGGTAACATTAAGCCTTTTTGTCAACACACACACACACACACACACACACACACACACACACCCATCACACATATTACTTTTTTTCTGAGAAAAGAAAATGATATCAAATAATTAGTAATGACCTAAAGCAATGGTTCTTAGCCTATTTTTTGGAGACAAGAATCTTTGAAAACTTTTCTGAATCTGATGAAAGCTAATGATCCTTTTCCCAGAAAAATAAATGCTCATAAGGACAGTCACAAAAATGTTTCTATGCATTTCAAAAGATCATGGATCCCTGAAGCCTATTCATAAAAATCTTGCTAATGGACCCTTACAAAGCCCTACCCTAAATTAAGAACACTGATATACAGTTGGCCCTCTGTATCTGTGGGTTCCACATCCACAAATTCAACCAGCTGCGAAGCGAAAATATTTGAAAAAAATTCCAGAAAGATCCAAAAAGCAAAACTTGAATTTGCCGGGTGCTGGCAACTATTTACATAGCATTTATGTTGTATTAAGTATTGTAAGTAATCTAGAGACGATTTAAAATGTACAGGAGGATGTGTGTAGGCTACAATGCAAATACTGCACCATTTTATAGAAGGGACTTCAGCATCCGCAATTTTGGTATCTGTGGGGGTGGGGCTGGAACCAATCCCCCAAGGATACTGAGGGACCACTATATATGCAAAAATCATCAGTTTGTGTTCTTTTATGAAGCCCACTGAGGCCTCTGAGACAGGTTCTAGAATGGGTTTTCAAACAAAACTCTATGTCTAGGGAAACTATATCACATTATTACTACCCGGTTACAGTGACTGGCCAAAGTTTCCAAGGTGAAGCACTGTCTATAGGTTATTTCTCCTCCCATCCTTCATTCCTTTCTCTCTTCCTTGTTTTTCTTTATCCCTTCTGTTCACATTTTCTTTTCTAAATTACATTTTAGACGTAGGATATTAAAAAAAATCTCTAGAGAAAACCACAAATTTACAAATCTGTAGCATATGACATCATTAGTAAAGAAAAAGCATTTTAAAAAACAAGAATGGTATATTCTTTATTAGTGAAATAAACATTTTGGGAATTCACTGCAGATCCAGCTGGATTCATAAGGACCACTACAATTTTCTTTATGCCCACAAAAAAATTTAACATAAATTCCTTTGAAGAGCCTCACAAGTGTAAGCCTTGCTCAGCTGAAACTACTGACCATTCACAAAAAGTAGTTTAGATTTATAGTTTTAAAAAAATATGACTTCTATTATCACCAAAACGTTCTCATTTTATCTAGGCCCCTCAGAGATCTTTTTGGTCAATACTTGTTCTTTTGGTTTTGGGGAAAGTAGGCTAATTCCTTGATTGCAATAATTTTTCATTTTCTACTATAACCAAAAACTTCTTAGAGATTTCCATTAGAATTTAATTTTAGAGCAACGCAGAGTTGCTTACTCAGGAAGAGGCAAGATGTTTGCCACACTTTTTAGTTTTTGTACTTTTGGAACTGGAAGCATTATAGCCTACAAAAATGTGAGCTTGAGTAACGGGCTTAGCAACTACATTCTAGAGGATTCCAGGTTGACCTCGGGCTTTCAAATTATAAATTGAACCCCAGTTAATGGTTCTTTGCAGAAGATAACCTCTTAGACGTTTGTCCCATTTTGTTATGACCACTATGCAGTTAAGCCTGGGCTTCCAATAATTCAAATATTGTCAAAATTGGCGTAAACAAAGATTGGGTTGGGTGGTGTAAAGAAGGAGGTGGCAGGGAGAGAAGAATGTCTTAAAATTCTGAAAGACCTTTTTCTTCTCTCTCTTTCTGCCAACATGAGACTATAATCTACGATCAGTTCAGTTACTTGTAAAAATATTTGGTGTATTGTAGTGAAATGCTTGGATAAATAGAATTTTTTTTTTTTTTTGCAGTACGTGGGTCTCTCACTGTTGTGGTCTCTCCCGCTGCAGAGCACAGGCTCCAGACGCGCAGGCTTAGCGGCCATGGCTCACGGGCCTAGCCGCTCCGCAGCATGTGGGATCTTCCCGGACCGGGACACGAACCCGTGTCCCCTACAACGGCAGGCGGACTCTCAACCACTGCGCCACCAGGGAAGCCCCGGATAAATAGAATTTTGATCAAACCAAATTAATCCTTTGGTTTACTGTCAACATCACTATATATGATCTAAAATGCCAGTGGGCCTAAGGAATAATTTTTTTGCTGTTGGAAAACGGTTTATATTTACATGGAGATGGAGCATAGAAGATTGATATTTAGCTAAATCTTAATGACCAAAGCCACAGATCATGTGATTGTTACA